CGTTACTTTCTATTGAGAAGAGTGCTTTGATTGACTTTCAACTAAAATCAAGGGAAATCCAAAACCACTTTCTAGTGTGACGAATCGGCAAGTTAGTACGGACGACACTCTCAGCTGTCATGAGAACAGAGATACTAAGTACGTTTGTCTTTTAAGTGATCAATAATCCTTTTTATACAAATTGGAATCAAAACTATACATGCAGCTGTAGCTAGGTCTAGGCTTGTCTAAGAGTTCACACCAAGAGCAAGTGTGTGTGGCTCTATGACTAATCAGGCATCTTAAACCGTGAAATAGACTTCGCTGAAGCTTGTCGTACTGACTAGTAGAAGGAGTTCACTTCACAGAGGGAAAGAACGGTGGGAATAGATTGGGGATATCCACTGCTCAATCGGCTTAGCGCGCCTGCAAAGGTGGCCAAATCCACTTGTGAGCTAGCTGTGTTTTCAATGTCTGTAAGAGGGATACAGGAATACCATACTTTCGATATACGTAAACAAGCTGGATTGATGGGTAAGGAGAGAGGTGGACCGGTGGGCAATTTAGATAGTATGTGGACGGTTGCTGTGCTACTTGAAGCCATTTCAGGTAGGTCTGAGGTATGAGAGGAATGGGGAGAGATCAGTGGTAAGGTTTGGCTCTTATTGTTGAAACTTGGTGAAGCAGCTCTGAAGCTTTGACAACAGGGCTTTCAGGATCTTCACCGCCACTGATCTCGGGGCCGCTATTCTGCCGACAGCCCCGTTTCGTTCATTCAAGTGACTCGAAGGTTCGCCCAGTTACGAGGGCCACGTGGTCTCAGATGGTCGTGGGCAAAGTGGATCGGTGGGTAGAAGGTCGAGGTAAGCCGCTGTTGCAGACCTACAGCGCCATCGTAACAAAAGCGTTGGTCCTAGCCATGGCTTGTGACTGCTGAACAAGGTGTAGTTTCTGACACTGCATCTGGGCCAGAAGATTGGCGCGTTCCTGGACCAAAAGTGGGAAGGAAGAACATAATTAAATGGAAGCTGGCAATGAGGTTAAGTAAAGTGATAACAACTGTGATAATGCAAACGGAATGAGGATCATCTTGAGTATTGTCAGGATTGGACAAGCCATTGGATGAGGGAGGCCGAACCCTTAAAGCACCTCGTAACCGAGCCGTCAATAAACTTATTCTTATCTTCTAAAACGGCTAGGGAATTCAGTGTGGCTATCGGATCCCCTAGTAAATAAGAGTAGAAAAGCACAGTCG